TTGCTGGTCTGAAATCATCTTGAAAGGTCCCTGCCGAAAATGGATGGAAGAGGGCAGCAGGGAGATATGAGTCTCAATGGAATACTGTGGGGAGCAGCTTTTAGGGGCGGGAGACTTCCCGTCAGCCACAGATTCACAAGCTACATCAGGGAACAACAGTAGAGGGACTCCCAGAACTGAAGGCATCACACACCACACAGGATGCGACCAGAGGAGCTGCTTTCTGGACACACATTATAACTGTGAGTAGCCAAGAGGGACCAACATTACACTCCAGATGAGCAAAAGTTCTGTCCCCTTCTCTGTTCCTTCCTGTGTACGGTTATGGAAAAAGCTAAAACAGGAAGCCTAAGCAAGGAAAGGGGCGAACAGTGTGCTCTCTAAATTTGAGCTGGGGAGTGAGATGTGGCATGCAAATTAGAGTGAGATTTTATTTTGGACTGCAACTCATCTTTAATAATTCTACTAACCACAAGTATCCAGAAAGCTCAAGATTCTGCTGTGAAGAAGGCAGGCATCCCAGGAAGATATGATGTCAGAGGAAGGCATGACTGAGCCAACAGCAGAACAAACTCAGCTTCCGGATCGGAACCTACTGCATTCCCCTGCTCAAGGCAGGAAAGACCTGTCCAAGCAGGAAGGCACAGGAGGCATCTGTGACGAAGGGAAGACAAACTACATGTTGCACGTAGGATACAAAGGGAAGTGCTTGCTGCACTCACATCACAACACTGCAGGGGAATAGGGTGGCAGCAAGACAAGAAATCCACACACACCTAGTCCTGCCCCACCCCCACAGCATCTTCCAACTACACCCATAAAGCACTCTACACCCTACTTCTCTCACACCCAGCAGCCAAGTTCCCAGCCAGGAAGTCCGCTTCAGCTCATGAGATGCTTGCTAAATCCTCCATCCACAAACTTTCAGAGTAGAAAAAAGCCATAAAGGAAATGAAGGAAAGAGACTTGGGCAGAAGAAGGAACCTGCCCAAGGCCACACAGACAGAGGGGTCCATATAAAGACCTCCTGATTTCTGTTGCAAGACACTCATGCCATCACTGTAACAGCAGCTCCTCATTCACAGATATAGTTAAATGTATTTTAAAAAATACTAAGTTCCATGAAGATCCTAAAAACAAATACTTTAAAAAGCAAAGCAAGATGGGGACGAATGTAGTAGCACCACCCCTGCCTTGCAAGTGCAAGGTCCCAAGTTTGATCCATGGTAAAAAAAAAAAAAAAAAAAAAAAAAAAAACCACAGCAACACCTGCAGCACATGCCTGTGGTTCATGGTTACAAAGAGGACTGCCACATTTCATGAAGGTTCAGGTCACCAAATAACAGCTCTTAGGAAACTGTTTCCTTCCTGTCCTGTGAATGCCCTGACTAAGTGGTGCTCCAGCTGTGGTGCTTCTGGCCCAGCCAGTTCTACAACCTACTAGCTTTTTGGCTATAGTATACACCCTTGAACCTCAAGAAGCTCCAGGTTCAGTGCTTTTCTTCATAATCTTGATTTTTCAGAGTAAAGGACTTAGAAATAAATAACCAATTCGGGGTGGGCCCAAAGCTTCTGAAAGCTTGATTGCTGCAGGAATATGGAACTCATATTTCCACGAGTGTTGCTCTATACAGCAAGATGGTCGTCTTTCTCAGAATGACCTTGCATGGCAGGGTGAGGAAGGTGAGCTCCCTTAGCCAGCCAGACATGCTAAGCCAACTCTGGCAACTGGTGAGCTGACAGAGTTCCAACAAGGCCACACCAGTAGCTGGAATGTGACTTAAGGGAAGTCTATCTATGCCTATTTGGGGTTTACGAAGCTCATCGGTTTTCTTATAAACTTCCTCTGCCTAACACACTAATAAAAGCCTGATACAACGAAGTTCCTTGGACTCTTTTTTGTATGTGAATTTGGTTATTCATTTCAACTTTATTACCTCTGTGCAGCACATATGCATACTTTTGCTTATTGTCATTCTTTAAATAGTCACCACCGGTATTTTTGTGTAACTTCTTTTCCTTTTGACCAGGAAAGCAAGGTGCATGGTAGTAAAGAAGAGAAATGTTTGGTAGCGAGCAACTCCAGCCATGGACTTGCAATATTAATACCCTAGAACATGTTTTATCTTGTCTATGCATGAAGCAATCACCTTTCAAAGCCCTAATTAAGATTATATTACAAAAGTTATGCAAACATAGATCTACTTCGTGAATGGTAGACAAATCACCTGAATAATAATAATAATAATAATAATAATAATAATAATAATATTGTTATTATTATTATTATCATCATCATCATTTTGATACCAGGGATTGAACTCAGGTCCTTGTGCTTGCAAGACAGGCGCCAGAACCAAAGAAATAAATCCCCAGCCCTCACCTGAATTATTTGAACCTGCTTTTCTTTTAATTCGCCTAGCTAGTAAAGGTGACCACAGATATGTTAAATGCATATATGACATGTCTCCTATTTGTAAACACTAGCTGCTCATAGCAGTACAGCATTACAATCCAACTACAGAAAGCCAACCAGGTGTCCCTGGATGAATGGGTAAAAACATGTGGGACACACAATAGAGTATTGTTCAGTCTAAAAAGGAAGGAAATTCTGACACCCATCACACCACCAATGCACTTGAGGACATTTTCCTAAGTGAAATAAAGCAGCCATAGAAGGATGTAAGTAGTCAAATACAAAGAGCTAGAAAGGAGAACAGTGGTTACCAGGCAGTAGTGGTGTGAGCTGTTTGATGCGTACCCTGCTTCTGCTCCGCAAGGTGAGAACGTCCTGGGGATGGATGGCTGTGATGACCACCCAACAGCATGAATGCACTGCACGTCATTCACCTGGCCACTTAACAATGGTACATTTTGTGTCATATACCCTTCTACCTTTTTTTTTTTTTCAGTTTTTTGAGACAGGGTCTCACTATGTAGTTGAGACTGACCTGGAACTCACTATGTAGCCCAGGCTGGTCTCCAACTCACAGCGATCCTCCTGCCTCAGCCTCCCGAGTGCTGGGATTACAAGCATGCACCATCACGCCTGGCTTTATGTTATATATTCTTTATAATACATTTTTTTTAAAAAGTGAATTAAAAGCCCACATAAAACTACCTGTGTTTTATGTGAAGAGTTCTGAGTAGAGTTGTATGTGCTAAGCTGTTGTTTTCTTTCAGACTTATATACTAAAGTATATTCCAGCACTGATTTACAATATTCACGTTATTCTATCTACCAAATAACTTACCTTTGGTTAAAATAGTTCCACTGCAATGAAATAAGTAGCTTTGAAGTTTAAAATTTTCCGCGGAACAGCATGTCTTTGATTTTATGAAGAAATACAACCTGATTATTAAAATATGCTGTTTTAAGTTTTCTCCATTAATACCTTTCTCAAAAGAGGGAAAAAGAAATACTTAGGGATTCAACAGTTTAATTTTTTTGGTAGCACATTTCTCTAATTGTTTTTTCACTCAAATAAAGGTAAAAATACATATTCCTATCAAGCAGAAAACTTAGGTAGAAGGAGTAGCTAGGGTAAAAAGATGACAATAAAAACAATCCAGATATTAGATAGCAGAAATGTCACGAAAATCAAATATGTGAAGGATGAGAAGAATGACATTAATCACCACACTGGAAAAGCTGGTAAGGTGAAGAGTCAGGGGGAAGGAGGAATGAAAACAGTGCATTTTAAAGGAACAAAAATATAAGTCCTACAAATTTATTTTGAATATACTCTATTTCCATCTGGAAAACTTTTTTTTGAGATAGGATCTCACCATGTAGCTCAGGCTGGCCCTAAACTCACCATGTAGTCCAGGGTGGCCTCAAACTCGCAGCGATCCTCCAGCCTCAACCTCCCAAGTGCTGGAATTACAGGCATGCACCGCCATGCCTGGAAAACTTTTTCTATGATGGTCCAGACAGTGAATATTTTCAGCTCTGGAGTGAGAGGCATTTGGTGGCAACCACCCAACTCCACTGGGTGTGGTTGGTCTCTGATACAACTTTCTTTACAAAGATAAGGTGGTAGGCCAGATTTAGCAGGAAGGAAACAGTCTGTGGACCTCTGGTCCAGACAAACAAAATAAAGACAGAAAAAGACATCTAAGAATAGAGGAAATCAATGTATGTGGCTATCATTTCCTGCTCTGACCCTCAATGAACAAAACTCATTTTACCTCCCCAAAATAAGAATTTTAAATGTCTCTTTTCCTACCAAAGTTCTTACTTGTCTTTCAGAGAAGAGGTGAGTGCCTCACTGAGCTAAAGTTTATGGTGGACTCTTTACTTCCACTAAAAATGTAATAATATCCTGCCCATATTACAACTCTTTAACAATAAATATTTTTCAATACACAGAAATGAACCAACAAGAATTCTTACTCCAAGCACTCTTTGTAGCTGATTCTCAAGATACAGAATAAAATCTGGGCCAGTAACTTTGGACACATCACTGAAGTGGAGGTCAGTTACTGGCAGGTTATTGCCCGAGGAAGGTATGAATATGTAAGATGGGGAAATCTCTACAGATAATTATTTTAATATGAAAACAAGCAAACAGTATACATCAAAATAGCACAATTGTACACAAAGGAAAAGACTGTCTCACACAAGCACATATTCTCACTTCTGGCTACAAAGATATATTTTGGAAGACTACTTTGCTTACCTTGAGAAGGATTCAGTTTTGAAATGTTTATGTTTATTCTTAGATTGTTGCCTACTTTTGGATTTTTTTCATCATAAGTATCTGCTACTTTTAGTAATTTTATGTTGAAATTTCAGTTAAAAGCTTTTTTTACCATTATTTAGAAACCAGTTGAATACTATTTTTCAAAAAAATTTACTCACAAGCCTTCTGCCATCCATAAAGATGACAACATAACAAGAATATGAATATAT